TGAAATAAAAAGTTCAAAAGAGTACTTTTTTTTAACATAAATCGTCTGTAACATTATCTTAACTTTACCTTTACTGTCACGTTTGAACTATTGTGTCTTTGCTGAAAAATAAAAGTATTCATTTCTTACTTAACCCAAACTTTTGAGCATCAAGTGTAACCAAAATTAGTCATGGAAGTTACCAAACTAACAGTGTATATATCTTTAATCTTGAAAAGTAAAGTAAAAAGTTTTTATTAGAAATATACTGTATATTGTACTGCAAAGGTTGACGACAACAATGGCTTTTGCTTTAACTACGTCCATTATAGAAATATTAGTTATTTTACTATTTTACCACAGTTTAACCTGTTTGTTGCTGACGACTTGGTTTTTGCTTAAAGAGGAATCTCTTGTAAGAAAATAATGGGTTAGTTTGAGCAGCTTGTGCAAAATTATACCATCTGTACCTGTTTGCTTTCTCACACAAATAGGCAAATAAAAACAAGACAATTTGTGTTTGGGAAACATAATCTAACCTGCTGTACGTTAAACATAATATGGCATACTGGATATTGTGATATGCACTTTTTGATTGACGTGTTTGTTTTTCTATTAGACTCACATGATCGGTCACACAACAGCTGGAAGCCCAAAGCAACGACCTTCACATTGAAAACCTAATTCTGTTAGAGGAGGAGAGACAGTGCACCCAGATTACTGATATTACATTCTGTTGACATATCTCATTTCGTGATTGTTCTATATCCACAGAAAAGCAAAATATCAACAAGAGTCGAAGAGATAGAGTTACACAAGACGTAGGGAAAGTGACAGACTTTATACGAAGGAAAGGGTATGTAAGCAAATAGAGGTGGACCGCAGAGGGTCACTTCACTTCTCGAAGCATGCAGACTGACAACTCCAGAACACTGTGGGGATGACCTCATACTGTCTATCAAACTGGACGACACACTTTTGGAAATTGCATTAAAGGTGCTCTATGTAACTTTTCTACTAAAATGAATCCTTTTTTTATTGCCTGTGTGTGAAGGGGTTGTAATCACACATTAAAAGGATCCACTTGTCGGGTTTTGCTATTACCTCTGAAGGCCAGTATTCCTATTTCTATGTGAAGTCTCCGGGTCGGATTTACCGCGAAATCCAACGGATGTGACGTGCATGCGCGCTCCCGAGCCTCTCTCCTTATATACAGTCTATTGTAGAGGTCAGGGAGTTACGTCCGGTTAAAGGCGCACGTTTTTCGGCTTATATCTCAGTCAATCTTTGATCAATATTCCCAAGACTCTAATCGTTCGTAGTGCTGGACGGGGCCTTTCGAACGAGCCCACCCCCGAGGTCCAACTCACCCGGCTCCCCGAGTTATAGCCGTTCGAAATCGGGGGTCCCAGCGAACGGCGATCCGGTAGGGGGTATCCCCGAGGCCCGCCACTCTAGCGTTCGTTCCCCTGGGACCTCCTCCCCCGAATTTGAGCTCTCTGGGTCTTTGCGTTCCAGAGATATGAGCGATTTTCTTCAAAGATCGTGACGTCACCGGCGTCCGCAATTTTGCAGCGTGCCCGATGGTTTTCTGCTAATATCTCTAACACCACCAAAAACTATGGAACTTATATGGTTCTTTTCAGCTCGACTAGATGGTCCCAACGAGCTCGATGCTCGCCGAATCCGTCTAGTATTCGCCGAGATATTTGCGTAATAGACGGTATTGTCTATGAGTTCGAGCACGAGCGCTCTTGTAAAATTTGGTTGCAATCTGAAACATCACCACTAGAGGCCGCTAAAAGTTACATAGAGCACCTTTAAGGCAATAATCGGACAACAACATGGGACGAGACAAGAGTGATCTTAAGAACTGTCAGGTGATCATTCTCAAGATGATAGTTTCTTCTTTTGCTTCATGTCCCTATCATCACGTGTCTAGATTAAAATAATGACAATAATATTTTAACCTTGAGTTTTATATTTTATTTTATTTCATTCTAGAAAATTGATCTCAACCCTATCAGAGTGAGGACCTGAATCAGAGCTAAACTGGAGCAGATGATGTCATGTTCATCCTGTAAATTGAGTTTTTTCTGTATACAGTCCTAAAGCAAAGGCAGCTGTTTGTGTATGAAGGTACTTTCTTATGATGCTGGTTTCACTTCCAAGGCACCATAACGTCTAATGATCTGGAACAAATTTCTCACTATACAATCATAAGTTGAACATAAATTAAACAATGGACAGACAGTTTTAAATCAGTTTACTTCTTTCAGCTGCTCCAACCAGCAGCTCCTGGTATCATGCATATACAGTATGCTGCCTTCAAAATCCGACCAGATGAAAGCATCCGAGTAAACAGGATGATACACAAATATTGGCTTCAGACATGACTTGATCTTCCTATTGTCAAATTCTGTCAGCGAAGGCAGCAATTTTCAGTATACTACTGACTGTATATTTTACAGTTTCTAACTGCATTTAATGTAAATCTAACATACAAATCTATTTAAACTATCTTTTTGTTAATATAAAAATATGTGATGAATCAAGTGGGACGGTGAAAGACCACATGATGATTTAAAGTTCAAAATAGGCCTCTCTGGTAATTGTAGCCAACAATAAAATAAAAACGGAGCATGCGTTACCTAGAAACACAAAACACTATTAGGTAACAGATGATAATAAAATAATTGTCAAATCATTTTTGACAAAAGTTTAAGCAGGGAATTATGGTATTCTTTAACAAAATGAGAAAATGCGTACTGTATGCATTGCATTCTTCCGCCTTCTAGGCCTAAATGTTATCCTACAATATAAGGTAATTCATACTTTGTACTTCTAAACATTTGTACATTTTACAGCAGCAATTATATATATATAGAGAGAGAAACACACACACACACACAGAAACACACACACACACAGAAACACACAGAGTAAAGCACTTAACACACACACACACACACACACACACATAAATAAAACATAAGGTAGGGTAAATAATAGTTAGCCAAATAACAGGTTTTTACTTTAGCATTTTCTACAGTGAATCTATGAAAGTTGCCTTCGGGTTACAGCTGAAATTGATCTGACAGCAGTACGAGCCCATGGGCTAAAAACGTTTATGTTGCACACAAGTCCTCTGATGCCTCAGATCTGCTCTGTCACCTTCAAATATCGCAATTCAACAGTTTTACAGAGAATCATCTATTCAGAGCGTTTATTTATATTTTTATGGTTATATTATCATCCTTGGTTAATTTTAGTCAACAACTAAAATTAACCAACAACAGGGGTGTCCATTCTCCCGATATGTCATTATATAGTATATCTTGGGTGCATTTCAGTGCAAGTGATCGTTAATGCAAAGATTTGGATAACGTTTCACCTAAATAATGATAATGAATGAATTTCATACACAGTGATTGAAGATTAACGTTAAGCTCATACCGAGCTCGAGGTAGCGAAGAGGCGAGAACTTACCAGCGGTGTAGACAGATATCCACAGTCACTGACTGATGCTGATTTTTCACGGTACTGAAGAACTATTGCACCTTTTTTCACGGGAGACGGTGTGTTTTGAAAGCACCTGCCCCGGTCCTAAGGTTTGACACCATCTCGGCTCCCGTTTGCGATCGTGATTTCAATGGATTGACAGGGGCAAAGAGGAAGATACCATTAATTATCCGTAGGGGAGACGGTACACTGCAGCGTGAAGGAATACTGAATAAAATCGTTATAATTTCATATAACCAAAGCATTAAAATGACAAAATAAATATTTTCTGGTTGCTTTTTTAAATTTATTTAATATGTTTTTTTTTTCTTTAATTGGATTAGGTCGATTCAACAAGTCCGAGAGGTGGGCCCCCAGTGTTTACTTTAAGCACACTCTACAGCAATAAAATATATATTTTTAATCAGCTTAAAATGTCACCATTCCCTATTGGATTCTCAAATGTCTTATAGTATTTTCAGTCAGATTTTTAAATTTGTCACTTGATTAAAATTTGGAACCTTAAGCTATAAGATTGAAATCTATATCTTACATATAACCGTAGTTTTGTGGATCTAATAAAAACTCATGGAAGAAAAAAGAATCATAGATACCCACCCTGGCACCACCAAACTGTATACTATATGGCCCACCTTACATCTCAAAGCAGGAGCTGGATCCGCCCCTGTCTGTCACAAAAAAATAAGTTGTTACTCATAATTATCTTAATACCATGAAGGATTATTAAGCTATGATCAGCACTGTTATTCTTCAAAATTGCTGATATTCTCACATAATTCTCTATATGCTATATGATCATATATATTTAAAAATCAACATCACAAATTAAATTTATTTCAAAATAAATTTATTCTCAAATGCAGACTTTGAACAGATCATCGCCTTTGCTGAGCTCACGTTTCAAAATAAAAGTTGTTGAAGTCATCTCAGTTGGTACATAAACACAGTCCCATTCATAACTCAAGTCACATTAATGTAAATAAGAAATCAATTTATTTTATATTATTTTATTATAGGCTGTGTATTTATGGTTATTTACAGCAATATAGGATTTGAAAAATACACAATAATAGACAATGTAATTGAATTCACGTGGTAGGACTCAAATTTTAAAGTTAATATAAAGATAACTTACTAGTATGCATATGTAATTAATATGTAAAAAAAATGTAAAATAAAATTATTAGTAATATATACATCGTTTAAAATACAATAAACATACCCCTATAAAAAAATGTAACACTACACTGAAGCATACATTTATATAAAAATAAAACCGAGTTTATGGGAGAACATATAAATGTAGTAATTTACAAAAATCTTCTATGTTTTTATTATTTAAAAACCTGGAATTATGTATCATCAAACTACGTAAGCACTTAAGATTCACAATTTTAATAATGTATTTTAAAAAGAGAAACTTTTATTATGAAATATCATTAGTTGTCAAATGCCTGTTACAATAGCTATCTTCAAATACCAGTATCATTTGACCAAATAAGAGAAACACATCTCACTGACTGTCTTCTGAGTTCTGACGGTTTGGAGTTGTTTATTTTTTTAATACAAAATGGGAGCCTGTATGGCGTTGTGCTCTCTTGCGAGCTGTGTAAGTATTCTGTTTAATTTCCCACGTTTTAGCTAGCTAACTGAGCTGCCACTTGACAGCGTCGCTAAATCGTTATCTGAACAGAAAATTCAGACTAATATAACTAAGAAAACGTAGTGATAAAAAAATTAACGTATTGGAAAATGTGTAATTTCGGAGAGCTTTTCGCTGAAAAAAAAAACTAATGTAACACGGAAGTGTGTTCATATTTGCATTGAGATCTATTATATATCAAGTCCCACATGGCTTCATAACAAATAACAATGTATGATTAAATGAACCATTCGGTGAGATTTATTCTTCTTGTAGTTTCGATGCGGTTTATTTTATAAGATTTGCTCATAGTAGTTCAGGTTATACAGGTTTTCAGAATAACAATTTGGGTTCACCAGTACTAATGTTCAACGCCCATTTTCAAAGAATTGAAACTTACACATTAAGAATGAATTTTTTTATTTAATTCAGTTCAATGATAAAAACAAATATATATAAAATGTTAACTGACTGAACTGCTTTCATCTGCTGGTTTTAGGTTCAGGGTTTTGACCTGACAGGTCCAAAATACACCACTTCCTTTTCAGAAATTTTGTAGTTTGAATTTGGCTTTTGCATTTCCATGCCATGCAACATTCTGTAAATGACCCATTGTCTGTAAATTATTATTTCACTGACATTGATTCTACTACTTGTTGGTACAAAACACACTGCATGACAGCCAAATCTATTCTAAGTATAGCCAAACAATATTCCCAACACTTTATATTATAGCTAGTGAGGATGGGTTACTTGTTATGGGACAAAGCATTGTTTTAATTTGACACTTAATATTTGTGCCAGTAAGAGAGACCTTTTCTGATCTGTTCTCAATACAGTCTTCCAGTTCAGTCTACTACAGGTAGTTTTTGAGAAATATAGAAATGAGTGGCAATAATGTTTTTTGCTGGGGAGTTGGTGTTCAGCCGACCAACACTCGACCAACACTCTGAGTATGAGTAACAGTCATGTGTTGAATTTCCTTAACTTTTATACAATATGCATGACTGGATTTATGAAGGCCAAAGTCTTTAGCAATGATTTTCTGACTGATTCCTGCCTTAAAGAGTCAACAAATCCTTCTTTCTCTGGTCATTTTTATATATTATATATATTCATGAAAAGATACTCTAAGTTTACAACAGTCAAAACATGCATTGATTTTATAAAATGCTTCAATCTTTCATACTTGCATGGGGATAATTCACTTAGAATAAAATGATGTTTATTTGCACATGCTGTGTGAATTGTTTTTGCAGCTGATTCACTAAAGGAATTATTCGGGCTCAAAAAGAATTTAAAAATCATTAAAACAGACATTGAAATTTTATTTATATATATATATATATATATATATATATATATATATTCCTCATTGTATTTATAAGTGAAATCTTAGCAAAGTAACCCTTAAAGTGTCAAAGTGCCTAACACATTATTATTTTGTGGTTGTGTACTTTATTTATTTAGTATCTTTACTTTTAAAGACACAAACATAATCATACAACTTGTACAAGTATACCAGTAAATGCATTCAATAAAATAACTTTTCACAATCTAGTTTCAGCCATTTTTTCACACTTTGACCTATTATTTGTTAGTTTAAATCAAGAATTTACATGGTTGCACCACCTGATGTATATCAGTTGTCACCTCACAACAATAATGACAGGGAATATGCTGAATACTGATATGATTTTTTTTTTCTCATATCAATTACATATAAGAAATAAAAGGAAAATACAAGTGTTTTAGTCTACAGTCTGTATTGAAGTAAAAGTAGTAAATTGATCAAAAACCGAATAAATCACACATCACCACATTCGGAACGTAGGAGCTGGAATTGGTTAGATATACTTTAATCGATTGTGATTAATATTAATGTTTTATATTGATACAAAAAGTTTGGGGTCAGTCAGTAGTTTTATTCAGCAAGAATGTATTAAATTGATCAAAACTGACTGAAGATATTTATAATGTTAAATAAATTACTGTTTCTAATAAATTCTGTTCTTTTGAACGTTCTAAGAATCCTAAAACAAATGTGTATCACAGTTTACACGTAAATATTAAGCAGCACAACTGTTTTCAACATTGATAATAATAAGAAATGTTTCTTGAGCACCAAATCATCTTATTTTAATGATTTCTGAAGGATCATGTGACACTGAAGTAATGATGCTAAAAATTCAGCTTTGCCATCACAGGAAGAAATTATTACATTTTAAAAACGCATTCAAATTGAAGATTATACATTGTAATAATATTTAAAAAATATTACTGTTTTTACTATATTTTTGATCAAATAAATGCAGCCTTCGTGAGCATTAGATACTTTCAAAAACGTTTTTAAAAAATCTCACTGACCACAAACTTTGAAAGTGTATGTTTCCTCTGTAGAACCTTTGTGCAGTACATCTATTTTCTAGTTAGAAATCTTTTTCTGCACACTGTATATTAAAGTTTCAAATGTTTTCCAGATTGTTTGTGATTTCTGGCAAATTGTGGCAATTAATCAATAATATGCTACCCCATGTTAACTGGTGATATAATTGCTCTTCCTTTTACTCTTTCCATGTTACAGGCCTCATGTTTGTGTGGCTCTGCTCCATGTCTGCTCTGTGGCTGCTGTCCTTCTTCCAACAACTCCACCGTCACCCGGCTGGTCTTCTCTTTCTTCCTCCTGCTGGGGACACTGGTGTCTGTAATCATGATCTTGCCGGGCATGGAGACGCAGCTCCGCAAGGTGGGTCCATCATCAGTGCGCATTCACTTCACGTGTGCTTTCAATGCATTGTGTTGATTTTCTCTGTTTTTAATGTCTCTTCAGATTCCTGGCTTTTGTCAAGGGGGGACCACAATACCAGGGATCGACAACCATGTTAACTGTGACGTGATTGTCGGCTACAAATCAGTCTACCGCATGTGCTTTGCTATGGCGTGCTTCTTTTTCCTTTTTTCTGCAATCATGATTCGTGTAAAAAGCAGCAAAGACCCTCGTGCTGCTATTCAGAACGGGTAGGTCTGACTTGTGCTTTATGACCATTCATTTATTCTGCTATTGTTTTTTGTTTTTTTGTAATGTTTACTACATGAATTTAAATTAGCTTGATTTTATTATTAAATACTTTGTCGACAGCTTCTGGTTCTTCAAGTTTCTGATCCTAGTTGGCATCACTGTTGGAGCCTTTTTCATCCCGGATGGCACATTTCATGATGGTACATTTTTGGTTGAACTCTTCCTTTAACAGAACATAATAAAACATATATTCACAAAGGGAAATACAATGACAGCATGACAATGATGTTAAGCTCTAAATGCAGCAAAAACATGATAATGTTATTTTGGGAAGCCAGAAGCGCAGGGCTCAATTTCAAGGGATGCATAAAATGCCTGGTTTTCTGCTGGGAAAAAGTCGATTACTTTTTAATGACTGTTTTGAATGCTCTGAGATGCATGGGAAAAGATGGGTATTGAAAGTAGAATAGGATGTTATTATTTTTTCATAGCATATTACATTAGCAGGGAGAATGCGTTGTTACTGTCTTGCCAGAATCCTCAAGGTGTGGAATTAAAGATGCAGAACATTGTGTTCAGAGGTCATGGGTAACTTCCAAAACAAGATCTTGACATTAGTATGCTTCATTGTGAGTCTAAGTATGAAAAAATGGGCCCTTCAGAGAAGCATGTTTTATTAAGCCTAGTTATAAATATAGTTTGAAGAGATAATTCACCCAAAAATGAAAATTCTGTCATCATTTACTCACTATCATGTGAGTAACCTGTATGACTTTCTATCTTCTGCAGAACACAAAAGAAAATATTTTGAGAAATATCCCAGTGTTGTTATTGTTGATTTTTTTTGTCCATACGCATGGGTGTGACGCATGTATGCAATTTCCACATGCACAACTGTTTCCAGCTGTTTCCTTTTATTCTTTTTTATTACAGTTTGGTTCTACTTTGGTATTGTTGGCTCCTTCATGTTCATCCTGATCCAGCTCATCCTCCTAATTGACTTTGCCCACTCCTGGAATGAGGTGTGGGTTAGGAATGCTGAGGAGGGCAACAACAAATGTTGGTTCTCAGGTATGTAGAGAGCAGATACACAGTAAGACATCCTGTTCATCACAATAGGCTTGCAAAGAGGTGTGTCCCAATCTACTCTTTTCCGAGAAAGAAACATGAGACTATATCCTATGTCTACAGGTCTGTTGTTCTTCACTATCCTGCATTACGCCCTTGCCTTTGCTGCGATTGTGCTGTTTTACCTATACTACACCAAACCCGACAACTGCGCCGAACACAAGTTCTTTATCAGCTTCAACCTTATTCTCTGCGTCATCATATCTGTGGTATCCATTCTGCCAAAAGTGCAGGTAAAGTATTAAAGCACATATCAGAGTACTTTTCATTCTGTCTCATTTCTGCTCTTCAGAATTCCCTCCAAAAAAATGTTAAAACATACAAATAAAACAAAAACAAATTCCAAGGCACTTCTTTTACATAAAGTGTGTCAGAAACGCACTCTAATGCCATGTTCAGACTACGCAATGTTTTTGCCTGTCACGATAGTCACTGTTACTCCTTTTCCACCAAGGCAGAGCTGGTGCTGGTTCGGAGCCAGAGCCTAGTTTCAAATCGGTTCTTTGTTTTTCGACCACCAAAGCACCAGCTCCGAACCAGTAAAAGTGGTTCTAAAGTAGCACCAAATCATTGCTGGTCTAGAAGTAAGAACCGCTTACGTCAGCGGCTGGGGGCGGGGTTACCGTGACCAACAAGACGAACAGAAACTTGTGACCGCCATTTTTTAAATAGCAGCTAATTGAGCTAATAGCAGCTCGATTGTAATATCCGTTTATGCAAGTCACGGTAAGCTGCATGAACGCGTTGTATTCGCCGTGTTTGGATGCCGATGTACGTTAGGTTCGCAAAGCCATGAGCATCAATAGTAACGCAACGACCGCCATTGTTGATAGAAGGCTTGTTCGAGATGCATCGGAGCTGCGGGAGTGTGTGGAGAGCATACGACTCCTTGTGCTTTTCGATCGCTTTTGCAGTGCTTTGATGTCATGCGCCAATCGGTCTGCGAGAAGCCGATGCATCTTGAACAAGCCTAGTGTGTTTGTGTTTGGCGCTGCCGCGCTAGCGTTGCTGGGCAACATGAGATGTATACAGTGACGTAAGACCTGGCTCTGTGGTGGCTCTCTGGCCTGTGGAAAGCCAAACCGGTTCTTAGAAAGCTCGTCAGTCGAACCAGCTCCGAACCGGCAATAGCACTAGCTCTGAACTAGCACCTGGTTCTTGCTGGTGGAAAAGGGGTTAGATTATGCGATTTTGACCCCTAAATTCTTGTCGTGTCACGGATAAGAAACATGTCAGGCTGCATGTTGCTTCCAAACCAATCATCGCTTGCCATCTTTATCGATGTGCGTGATGTCATAGAGAAGGCGTAACTAGCGACCGATTTCCGTAAACAAACTACCGAAGCGGCATGTTATCTTAATGCTAAACATTAAGTTGCTGAAGTGCCGCTTCGAAGAGCCTATCGTTCGCCATTTATCTTTATTCACTCAGTTGTGGTAGACACTCGAAGAAACATCATAAAGGCAGGAGTATTGTTGCCATAGATCCACAAACCTTTCCTCCCATTGCATGATTCTACCTCGCAGCACCAATTCCATCATCTCTCTTTTGTTTCGCCATGTTTAAAAGCTGTATTCGGAAAAGCTTCTGTGCTCCTATTGGTCAACTTCCACTATGACACTCTTTATGAGATGAAACAATCGTTTCTTGCGTCTCTACGGCCATTGTCGTTTACGAATCACCACAATATCCTACGTCAAACGGATTGTGCCAACATTTGGCTGATATCGTGTAGTCTGAACCCAGCATAAGGAAGGCTGAATGGTGAAATCAGTGTGTAGTTTTGGTAAATGACTAGCCAAAACAACAAAGGCTTTTTAACATTTTTTACTAAAAGAAGTGCTTTTGGATTTCTCATTTTTATGTTTGAAACCCAACCAAAGAGCACCTTCTGGGATTATTTTCATGAGGTCCATTTAGCAAGCAGCGTTCTGTGACGTTTCCCTCAAATTTAAAAACATATTGTTTAAAGGCCAAGAAAGCATTTTAAAGGGGACGTAACACACAGTTTCTGGCAATCTCATGTTAATCTTGAGGACCTATAGAGTAGTATTGCATCCTTCATATCTCCGAAGAGTCTGTACCGATTCTTTCCGAAAACAGCCATGCCATGGGCGGAGCTAAAGAGTCACGCACAATACATCATCGCATTATCCCTGGCTGGATAACTTTTGATTCACTATACGTTTGTGTTGACATTTTATGCACTTACGCACCGATTGCCAACAAAACACAGCCATTTGATGTTACTTACTGCCTGCAATTCCGACTCATGACCGGGATATTTTAGTGCTGAGACCGCTCCATCTTTCAGTTTCAAACGATCTGCAAATCCAGCGTCGAACTGGGCCTTGTTTATAAAACATTTGTCACCGAAATGCTGGGAACAAACAAACACACTTGCACAACTCCGTTACTGCCACGGAAAAACTAACTGCATCCATTGTTCCCCTAACGCTGGGTTCTTTGGGAAGCTGAACAAGGTTATCTTTCCCTCACAACCAAAAGCACACTTCTTTGGTGACATTGTTGATTTCGTGCTCTAAAAACATAACGACCGCTGCCGGCCGCCGGCGGCTTCCGTAACCCGATCTAATCACGTTAATGGGCGTTGTTCTTGCTCTGGTTGATGTGTGCTCGCACTCTTCCAGGAGAAGTGCCCATACAAGGAATTCCACCTTTTATATCATACAGGGCCATACTCGGAAAAAAACATTCCGAAATTTTTACGAATCCTGTAGGAGTGTATTTGGCACACGCACAGAAATACTCCGTCATACGTCCAACTTATTTTTTTGAAACTTTGGCCATGTTTAGCATGAGAATCCAACTATTTAACAGTGTAAACAAGTCAGAATGCAGGAAATAGCATTAGACATCCCCTTTAAGATATTAAGCAGCATAAAGACCTTGAATGTGAAGCAACATACAGGAAATGACAAAACCGCTTTAACTAGCTGTTCGAAATATGTAACATTTTGCCTCAGTACACAAATCCTGACATGAATGCTGATTTATATAACGTGCATAAGAAAACAGTCTCCCCGTTGTACTGAAGGTCATCTACTATTTGCATTAGCCTCCAGCTTTTGTCTTTTAAAGGAAACTTCTTTGTTCCCTCCTTTGCATTCAGAATATTAATGCAGGCCTGCCACAACAGACAAGCTTTCTTCACTGAAAATCTGCAGTTTAGATTCTGTAATTTCATACAAGCTTCACTGGTGTTTACAAAATCTGATGTGTACTTAACTAAATATGTTTCTTTATTTTTGCATGTGTTTGCAGGATGCCTCACCTCAGTCTGGTCTGCTTCAGTCCTCTATTATTACCCTGTACACTATGTATGTCACCTGGTCCGCTATGACCAACAATCCTAGTAAGTCACGCAAGAAAATCTCAGAAAATATGTACTCTGATGAAAATACCTGACTTTGGTCCCTCTTCTCATTTTACGAGCTTTCATTAAGAACCTACTCAGGTTGATACTTTTTTTGGTGAGTTTTGTGGTGTCATAAACACGAGATGCTCAGCCTTTATAGCCTCCTTACAGAATAAAGCCAAATTACCCATTAGAATCCAGATTATGAATTTAGCCCTCTTTACCTACATTCTGTTATGGTCTAGTATGCATATTATGATCTAGTAAATATACCTATTAGCAATCCAAATAAGCATTACAAAATGTGACACCAATAGTTTAGTTGTGAAGTATGTGATTAATTGTGATTAATTATGGTTTAGTATGTTCACTTTTAAACCATTTATTTTTTTGACTCTACCCATAGATCGTGAATGTAACCCTAGTTTGCTCAGCCTGGTGTCCAATATCAGCACAACTGAGGCAATGCCCACAAGCTCCCCTGGGATGGTGCAGTGGTGGGATGCTCAAGGCATTGTGGGATTGGTTATCTTCCTCTTCTGCACCTTTTATGCCAGGTACGTTAAGCAAAAAAAATGTGAACGTGATTTAGATTTTTGTGTGTTTCACAGCTCTTCTTTACTATTAGTATTTGTTATTAAAATGCATAAAGACCATCTACATTTCTACATCAGCTTCTGTAGTTAACTGTGGTTTTCCATGCTGATTTATTGTACACTACAATTTAACATTTATAATTAATTGATCCAGAGATGGGTTAGCCAGCTGTTTTGATGATTCACTAATTGCTAATAGTTTAAGAATCTTGAATGGGATGTTCTTTGTTGCCAAAACGTGTTGATCAACCTTTTAATGTTTTAATGAATTAGCCCAGCGTTTTAAAGGCTTTTTAGTTTAACCATGTGAGTGCCTCGGAATATTTTTTTTTCATGGACCAGAGATGGATTGATTGATCAGTGGTGTCAGATATGGACACCTGTAGGCAAGGTTCATAATTAACATTTGCCAAGCAGCAAATGTGAGTACAAAATTGCCTTGGCAAGTAAATAAAAAAAATGTTAGTTAGATGGTAACTTTAACCTTCAACATTTTCAGTGTCATAAATCTGTTAATTGAGTAGTGACTAGAAATGGTGCAGAATCTTAAATATTTTTCAATTTGTATCAACAATTATTTAGGTTTTTCGGAAACAGTTCAACCACAGATTTCTGTTTATTTTCACTCAGAATTTTGAGTGGCACTAATATATACATTATTGTTCAAAAGTTTGGGGTTGGTACTTTTTTTTTATTGTTTTTTAAATGGGTATTGTTTTGCTCGTCAAGGCTGCATTTATTTGATCAAAAACACAGTAAAAATGAATATTGTAAGATATTAATATTCTGAATAATTGTTCTCTATTTTAATATATTTTAAGATTACTGATTATGTCACATAATCCTTCAGAAATCATTTTAATATGCTGATTTGGTGCTATAGTAACATTTCTTCTTATTATCCATGTTGAAAAGAGTTGTGCTGCTAATTCTTTTTTAGAAACCATATTAAAAACCAAATCCGGATTCATTTATGAATAGAAAGTTCAAAAGAACAGCATTTATTTGAAAAATATATATTTTTGTAACAGCTTAAAAGTCTTTGTCACTTTTGATCAATTTAATGCATTCTTGCTAAATAAAAGGATTGATTTCTTTCAAAAGTATAATACTATATGGCATACATGTTTTTTAAATGAAAATGTTTTTCACCACATCAGAAAAAACTTTCTCTCGCTTTAACCCCCCCCCCCCCCCCAATCTAGCTTATCATCAAATAAATATTAATGTGAGGGAGGTGAACATTATCATGCCATTGTCCATGTGTATGTTCTCTTTTTAGCATTCGTTCATCCAGTAACGCTCAGGTGAACAGGCTGATGCAGACCGAAGAGGGAAAGGGCTCTGTGGGAGGAGAGGAGATGGGTGAAGACGGTCTGCGGCGTGTTGTGGATAACGAGGAGGAAGGCGTCACATACAACTACTCATTTTTCCACTTCCACCTCTTTCTGGCCTCTCTCTATATCATGATGACTCTCACTAACTGGTACAAGTAAGTGTTCGTTGACCAAGTCAAGTAAAGTCTTCTTTAACTTGACCACTGGAGTGAGTTCATCTTTATTTTTTTATTTATATATATATATATTTATATCTATATATCTATCTATCTATATCTATCTATCTATCTATCTATCTATCTATATATATATATATATATAATATATATATATATATAAGACAAAGTGTAATTTAAAAAAAATGTCCTATTATATTTTAAAGGTATAGTTTAAAGGTAAAAATGGAAATTGTCAATATTTACTCATCATGTCATCCTATACCTTTGGTCTTTGGTGGATCACAAAAGGAGAAACTTTGTAAAAATGTACTAGTTATTATTTCATGCAGTTACAATGAATAGAACAGAACTGCATCATAAATTGGCTCAGGTCTAAATACTTTTTTTTTTTTTTTTTTTCGTTTTTTCTGCCTTTCCCTTACATCCATCTTTAGACCTGAAATAACCACTCAGATCATGCAGAGCACTATGCCTGCAGTGTGGGTGAAGATCTGCTCCAGCTGGCTGAGTCTGGGGCTCTACCTGTGGACGCTTGTGGCTCCTCTCATATTCTCCAATCGAGAGTTCAACTGAGCTTGAGTGGGTGAGACTCCCATTCAAACTGTCTGTGTTGTGTTGTGTTCGAAATATTACAATCCCAAAAACCGTTAAATAGCACGATTGAAAGCAATTCAAATCTGAAACGGACCATTCATGACTAGTATCATAAGGCGAATAGGTACTTACAAGTTTATGAAATTGCATGGACAAAAACAAAAGTATATGATTCCGTGACGTATTAAAAAGAAAAAAAGTACAAAAATGACACTTCAGTAACTTGACACGTGAGGATTACTGTTGTGCAGAAAGTTGCCATTCATCATTAGATTTTACTATGGGTGCTTCTCAGTACTTTCATTGAGGCTTGACACCTGATGCACACCATTTTTTTATTGTTTACGTTTTTGTACCCACACATGATGGATACATGAAGTAAATGGGTTATATAAATTCTATTGCTTCTACTGTGTTGTCGATACCCTCAATAATTCACTTCTCATGGTCCTTAAGGGTTATTTCGCAGTCATTTCAAACACAATATTGCTATAAATGTGTTTTATAAAGTCAAAATTGCTAGTTTATTTTGTATTGCATTAAGGAAACAGCACTACTCGTCAGTTTAACAGGTGTATGCTACTCAAATCTGACACCACACATTTCTAGTGCAACAAATAAACTCAATAACTATCCTAGAGACATAGTGGTCAGCCACGAATACTAATATGCATAATACTGCTGCTAGAAACCTACTCTACCTGAAGAGGAAACCTTTTTTACAGTGATAGCATTTCAACATCAGGGTCTTATTCAATGCATTGTACAATAGACTCTCTGTAATATACAATTTCACTCTGATTTAGCACGTTTTTTTTCTCAAGTAACTGGGAGAGAGGACCGTGGGGAACCCACGTGCACTGGGAGGCTTGAACAGGGGATTGTTTTCACTCCAGGTCCTCTGTAGAGCCCCTAAAACGTGTGCATCCAGGAGATAAGCCCAATCTGACACACCCTTCCCCAGTACAGCTCACTACACCATACTCCACCGTGAGGTCACACACCCTGACCAGGGTCTCCAGCACTTCCATGAACTACAGGCTGTGCTGTAATATAGATCACTGATCCAAATTAATATAATATGGTGCTGCCAACCCATCAGAGCCTCATGTTAGCATATCTAGCTTGTCGTTTGGCAGTATGCTTAAGTAAAATGTACTTTAGTGTGGCAATAGGAAATTTAGTGTGGGGAAAAAATTAAATAGCACTTACATATAAATGAACAGTTCAAGGCTGGTTAATGTGTTAATAATTTATGTATTTAATGGGTAGATGTTGTTCCCGAAAATTGATTCGTTAAGCTTTCCGCCTGTGACACTACACTTTGTTTTTTTTTAAATGACTAAAATAATTATTTTTGTTAATTTTTCTTGTAAGCACATGCTGGAGTTAAATTACATAAGATTTTGTGGTCAAAAATGTTTTAAAATTGACGAAAACCATGCATTTAGTTAAATATTTCACACGTGTGTTATGAAAGCAAAATATGAAATTTCATAACTAAGTATTGTAGGTGTGTCTGCCTCCAGTCATTCGGTATTGCTCGTGCTATGCTTGTGACATTGGAAGAAACTGATTGTGAAGTATGTACTGTGTATATATAAAGTATATTTGACCTTTTTCCGAAGTAACAGTTTAACACAAGCATGGTGGTTCATCTGTTGTCTATTATTAGGAGCAACATACAAGATGAGTAATTCTTCATGTGCCTTCAGCGATTACCCGTCTTATCAAAAGCAACCAGGTTTATTTCAGACCTGTGGAGAAGTGCCTTTGCTGTTTTATAACATTTAATTTTCATACAATATTGCCCTTTCAGTTGTTTCTGTGAATGTACTATTTCAGTGATTGGTGTTGTTTGATTAGTGTGTATGCTGTATATATTTCAATAAACTCATATAATGGGTTGGTTAGCCAGAGTCGAATCTTTTAACTGTATTGATCTGACTGATAATTTACTATCAAAATTTGAAATTATGATTATTGCATGTGGAATTTGTCAGATTATTGATTGAAGTTTGTTCAGGGCTCAACAAATATATAAATAATTTGAAATAATAAATAAATATTTTTTATTATAGTATTTGCTAGAAATATAAATTTGCTAGATGCCCTTTTCACAAGATGTAAAATAAGTCTCTGATGTCCCCAGAGTGTGTAAGTGAAGTTTTAGCTCAAAATACTCCACAGATATTTTTTATATAGCATGTTAAAATTGTCACTTTTTGAGGGTGAGCAAAAAGCACCGTTTTGTGTCTGTTCCTTTAAATGCAAATGAGCTGCTGCTCCCGGCTCAGAGGGCGGAGCTTCAACAGTCCTTTTACCTCACACAGACATGCATTGAACATTTCTAAAACTTTTCGCCTTTTATGTTCAAACCGGAGTCAGACAATTATGGAGAGACTCAAGAAGAAGTGACGACATGTAGAATGCAACAGGACGTTTCTGTATGTTAGTTGATGAATTTATGTAGCTTAGTTATCTTCTAGTCATTGATTAGCATATTCTGTCATGATAATCTATAAATCACGTTCCCGGGGCTGGGGTTTATGTAAATTTTAGGGTTAGTGATGTCATGTTGTGTAGTCCCTACCAGCCATTTGTTGTAGTTTCTTTAAAGTCCCTGTAAAGTAAAAATTAAGTATGTGTTCTGAGTTTGTCACACCACAGAAAAATGTGTTATTAGCCACCCAGACAAATTTGAATGATAAAAAAAGCCGGCAAGTACATAAAATAAGCTATCAAAATCTTGAAAAAATTAGCAGTATTCTCTGCTCTCAAACGCTGGGGGCGTGTCCGCTGGCTGCGCTGAAACCACGCCCACTCGCGGGAAAGCAGCCGACGGTGATTAGGATACTGCTTTCGGGACGGGGAGATGAAGGCCGAGGCGGGAGATAGTCGGTTCGGCCCCATTCACCAGTAACAGCGGATTATCAGTGAATCCCAGTTGTCTCCGACGTAAGTTTATAAAACTATCCCGTGTAAAATGATCGCTACAGAGGCGGGTGTTGGCGGTGATCCTCAGCTCTTCATCAAGGTTGGCTCTTCACAAAATTAATCCACCTCTTCTTGATGTGATCGTTTTTAGGAAATTTAAATAAAGACACCGATCTGTTTTGTACATGATCGCATCCAGGTAGTAGCCTACGCATTTCCGTGTCGAAGTAGGGTTGCCACCTGTCCCGGTTTTACCGGGATTGTCCTTCTTTTTAATAACCTGTCCCGGGAAATTTACGCACTCTCCCGGGACACTGAATGTCCCGGTTTTCAAAGGGCTACGTGAATATGTATGTTCAAACTGTGTAGCGCGCGCAACGGCAGAGAGGGAGAGAGCGAGAGACCTTGCGTGTGTGTGCTAGTGTGAGTCGAGTCTGCCTCAAGAAGCGCATAAGAAGCGCATGTAATCGGAGTGTGGAGCGCGCTTGCTGCACGAGGCGCGGGCGCGAGCACTTCCGTTTTTCTATCAACAGTGGAAACAACTTAAAATAGGCCTACTACTCTATCATTTCTGGTCATAGAAAATAAACATCATTCGCAACAATACATCATTCGCAACTACTTTTATTTGTGTAAACTCACAATAACAAGAAAACGTTGTGCTTTTGTAAAATAAAATAAAACAATCAGTCGCGCTCTTTTATGGTCTCCGTGAACTGGATCGCGTCTCAAAATAAACAAGCCCATAGGCTAAAGCTTGAAATGTCCACTTTTAAACGAACAAATTCGAATCAAAAGAAAATACAGTCTGATTATGTAATCCATATGAATTTCTTATCTAAAGGCGCATCTGCTTTACAGCGGAGATGGAGATATGTTGCAGCCGATTTAGAAAATACTAGTTTATTAATAAACAATTAAAATGCCTCGTTACTTTTTCAGAAACATTTATAATAGCCTATAAATCATCTATAGCCTTAGAAATATAGTGTTTGGCCTTAGAAAACCATTTTATCCATATAATTTGTGAATATTTTAAATGCTTAATAAAGGGGCAAAAAAAAATCATGAAGAAAAATCTGAAAATACGCGAATATAGGATATATTTTTGCGCAGCATTCGGTGTATAGGCCTACAGTTAAAATTTAAATTTTGGTGTTCAACCGTTCATTTTTGGTCTTCAAACACCCCCCCCCCCCAGTTGGGCGGGTAATCGATATGTCCCGGTTTTTTATCAGACATAGGTGGCAACCCTATGTCGAAGGCATAGCTAGCTAGCAAACTGTAGGCTGTAGTAACTAATAGTACTGACAGTAAGTCGCGATTGAGTGGCCTCAGTGCGTGTGCGTCATCAAGTAGGGGCGTGTCCAGGGGCTCCAGTGCGTCATCGAGCCCCGTTTTAGCCCCGCCCAAAAAATCCGGAAAATAGCAATGGTGAAAGACTATTTAACGGTCTAACTCCACAATTCAGTATTTCACAGTTCACAGTCTTTGTAATATGTTTTAGCAATACATTTCTAACATTTATAATGGGTTTAGAATTTTTTTTTTAGAATTGCCTTTACAGGGACTTTAAAAGAAAATATCTCCCTTTGCTTTGAACTTTGAGCGTTGTAACTTTGCAGATGTTGTTTATGCTCAAACAGCAACATTACACACTAACTAAAGTTAGAAAAGTGAAATCATAATCAACCACCCCTTTAAATATTCCTGACCATTTAAATCAAGTCTCATAGAACAGAATGAGAAGGTTGTATTTTTATTTGCTGTCTGCCCACCAGGTGGAACTGATGTGCTGCTGATTTTATCTATATATCATGGAGAACATGCATTTCTCAATACTGATGGCCATCACTCTTCAAACAATGTGCCCTTTAATTACTTGATTCTACTCCAGTTATGCAATTTCATGTCAGCAGTTTTTCATAGTTTTCAAATGACACATTGTTGGAGGTAAAAACAATAATTAAATCAGTATCTGAATCTTTTAAGTGCTGGTTTTCCTCTTTCTCCATCCATGTTTATGCTTTTTTCGTTTACCCAATTTAGTCTCAGTGCCCCAAACTGGCCTCACTGACCATAAAATCCTCTTCGAGTTACAAGCAATTATCATGCTCACAATTGTGTAGCCTTTGGCAGCATTAGCAGCAAAAAAAAAGTTACTTTACTATTGCCAGAGAAAACTACGAAAAACAGGTCTAAAAATCTGTTTCAAAAGCAGCGATACCAAAAGGGAACGTGTTTCGTAAATTCCTCTCAGTGCTGGAGATGTTATGAGTGGCTTGTGGATAAGGAAGGTATTGAATGTTAAAGGGATACTCCACTTTTTTTGGAAATAGGCTCATTTTACAACTCCCCCAGAGTTAAACTGTTGAGTTTTACCGTTTTTGAATCCATTCAGCCGATCTCCGGTTCTGGCGGTACCACTTTTAGCATAGCTTAGCATACATCATTGAAGTGGACAAGACCATTAGCATTTAAAAAAAAAATGACCAAAGAGTTTCGATATTTTTCCTATTTAAAACTTGACTCTTCTGTAGTTACATCGTGCACTAAGACCGACGGAAAATGTAAAGTTGGGATTTTCTAGGCTGATATGGCTAGGAACTATACTCTCATTCCTGCGTAATAATCAAGAACCTTCACTGCCGTACCATGAGTGCAGCAGGCGTAATGATATGACGCAGCGCCTGAAAATAGTTCCGTTGTGTTGAAGGAAGGTGGCCTATTTTCAGGTGCTGCGTCATATCATTACGCCTGCTGCACTCATGGTACGGCAGTGAAGTTTTTTGATTATTACGCAGGAATGAGAGTATAGTTCCTAGCCATATCAGCCTAGAAAATCGCAACTTTACATTTTCCGT